TAGTTCTAGTTGCATCTGTTGTTTTCTACCAAACAATAAAAATTCTATAACAGTTGGATTAAATTAATATAACTACTCCACAAATAAATACTTGCCCTCATTAATAGAAGAGTTAACACCACTTGAACAACATTGTGAATTAAAAACTTATGAAAATGAACAAACACGTTACAATGCTCTTATACAAAGAGTAAGAAGAAGACAAAATATTGCAACTCTAGCAAAGACAGTAAATGGTGGAAATACACTTACTTATTTCCCTTTTCGATATTATTTTAGTAAAATATTATTTCAAGATATTAGATTTAATACTGGAACATTAAATAAATATATGTTGGATTATTATCATATTATGAGAGTAAATATCTTTGGAAGTAAAAACTCTGTAATTGATCATACTAATACAGATACTGGATTAAATAAATACACATTTCCACTTGCAACATCTCAAGGAGGAAAAGATACTAATGACAAATTTACAATTAATCCAATAAAAAAAGATTTTCATATTAGAGAAATAGTCGTTCAAATAGACTTTACATCATGTCAACTTCCAATAAGTCAAGTAATTGAACAAAATAATTCAACACTTCCAGCAAATATTGTTTTTGAAGATCTTAATAATTTGGTTAATAGCCCAATAAATAAAACTTTTAAAGTTGTATATGATAAAATAGAAACAATTACATGTGAGGAATGTGATTATGAACAAATCCTCTGTTTTACATTGAAAATAGAAAAACAATAGTATATTTCAAGAGCTAGTACTACAACTGGAAATCAATTTATTCAATTTAATACTGGATATTATTGGTTTATTAGTATAAATGATATAAATGAAAGTTTACGTATTGTGAAATATATGAATAATGCAGATGAAAAATCTTATTACAATATTGGTTCACAATTTGCACCATCACAAAGAGATGGATTTTTACGAGAACTAGCAGGAACAGTTTTAGAATCCAACGAAACTTTTAGATGGATTGATCTTAACACAAATAATGCACAAGCAATTCAGAGATTAGGTGATGCTATAAATGATTTAAAATGACAGTTAGAAGAAGCGAATGATGAGAAATATGATAAAAGGTAATTAAATTATTATTATAATTAAATAAATTAAATATTAATACTAATTTAGAAAAAAAACAGACAAAAATAAACCAACAACACCGTCTCCACCAATACCACCCAATGAAAATGATGAAAATAATAATAATCCTCTTTCACCAACCAACTGACTACAACAATTCCAACTCCTACAACTACAACAACAACTTCTACCACTAATATACCACATTCTACATCCACAACAACAACTATTTTTATATTTTTAACAAAACCAATTTTCCCCTCTGAAACTACTACAACTACTAGTACTACAAAAACTATATCAACTACAACAACTAAACTATTACCCTCTAAAACTACTTCTTCAACTACACCATCGCTATCAAAAACATCATCCCCCCCAAAAACTACTATTATTCCAACTCCTAACCCTACAAACACTCCACCAATTGATAATTTAGTTAGCTATCCTATTTGTAAATTAGAATTAAAAGAATCTAAGATTAAAACTCATTTAAAAGACTATATAAAAAATCCTTTAGCAAAAGATTTTATTTGTGATAAATTAAAAATGAAAAAACAAGCAACAGGATTCGATAAAATGAAAGAAATAATATATAAACTTACTGATATACAAGTGAAAAAAATAATTGAAGAAATTCAAAAACTTATAGAAAAATATGGTGAACAATTTATCGACTATATTCCTGATGAAATGAAAGAAAAGATTCTATATAACTTTGATAAAATTATGATTGGTGTTATTGGATCAATTATTAGATTTTCAAATTTATCTGTTTTTTTCTATAAATTTTATTTTTAAATTCTATATAAATATTGTATTTATTCTTTATTTTTAAAATAATAAAATAACATCCTTATCATCATTATTAATAACTAATGAAGAAAATCTAAATATTAAAATTGAAAATGATAAATTACAAATTAAATTAATTGACTTGGGAAAAGAAAATGATAATTTTAAAAAAGAAATCGAAAAATTAAAAAAACTACTAATAAATTTTCAAAATAACGACAATACAACAGAATTATCTAATCTTAAAGATCAAATTAATGACAATACATTACTTAATTCAGAATTAACTACTGAGAACATTAGTCTTAGAAATGAAATTAAAAATTTAACACCCCAGTTAGAAGTTTATCAAAATAGTGAAAAGAGTATTATATTATTGGAACTGGAAAAAAAAAATTTATTATTAGAAAACAAACAACTTCTAATCACAATAGAAGATTTAAAAAATAATAATCAAACTTCTTCAGATATAACAAGTAATGATAAAAAAATTTTAGAAGAAATCAAAAAAATAACAAAAAATATTAACTCATTTGATGAATTTAAAATTGAATTTGAAAAATATCTTTCAAAAAAACATACTGATAAATTACTTATTTAGAAATTTTTACTATAGGGGAAATTAATACTTGAAAGTTTTCATAGCTATTTCTTTTGGAATTCTTGTTGTAATATTAAAAACTTTAAAATAATTTGCTCACTTTCATATGAAAGATATATTTTATATTTTTTGAAAATATTATTTTTTATTTTAACATTAAACACCATAACAACTATTTTTAGAATTTTATTTGTACAAATATTTATTATTTCTTGGTTAGAATTTAAAATAATTATATCATTTATCAATTTAATAATACTATATATTTATAAATTAGTTTTATTTATACTTAAACAAATTAAAAAATATTGTAGAGGATGTTGTTGTAACCAATATTGTGAAGTATTAGGATGGGTTATTTTCTTTTTTCTTTATTTTATATTTTTTAATGTTTAAACTTATTCTATTATTCTTTGCATATTTAATTGTAAACAAATATATTTAAATATTTAATTTTATAAATATTATTTAATAAATAAAATATAGTTTTAGCTTGTGTTTATACGTTGTTATGCTGTGCCCGTATCGATGATACGGCTTGGTTCTCAGCCTTGCAGCAAATCATTGTAATAAACGTAAGCTAAAACATGTCTACCTAATATTTATTATATCCTTGTTGTCTGGTCGCTCGCCACTAGGCCCTTCTGCAAGCAAAAGCAGCTTAATAGTAACTTTGTTATAATGTATCAAACGCCAATTGCATGAATTTGGTTATGCTAAAGCATAACCAAATTAAATGCTAATTGTTTTTGATATATTTCACAAAGTTAAAACATTGAAATTTTTGAAATAATTTTTAATTATATAAATATATTTTATATTTATTAAATGAATAACCGTTACAATTTCCAGTAATTTTATCATGTGCTACTTTAAAATCTATTGCTTGTTGTTTTGTTTTAAAATATTTTACTTTATGTTTTTTATTTTTAGACCATTAAAATCTCCATCTATTACTAAATGTATCAAAACTAATCCCATTATATCCTAAAGTATTATTTTTAAATAATTTACAATTTAATGTATTTTCTCTATGAGATGTTTTATATAAGTTTTCTTCTCTATTATCAAGTCCACAATGATTGATGTGATTGATAATTTTCCATTCTGAATGGATCATTCTATGAAACTGAATGTGTTTATTTTTAATATTTGATCTAATATAATATGTATTTCTATCTTTTTGACAATACCAAGTATAATTTTGAATAAGATTAAAATGT